ATTCTGAACCTTTGTTGTTGTAGGGAAATCTTGTTTTATGTGGACTTAGAAATGGAGCTATTGTCACAGTTGATGTTCATGAGAAGCAAGAAGGTGTTTCTGCTAGATTTATTTGGACACCGAATACCTTGTCTTCAGTGAGAAGCAGACAAAAACAATGGTTTGAGGAATCATTGATTGCTTATTCTGAAATGATAATTCCTATTTCATATGGTCATATCTTTACTAGAAAGACACGTGAAAGGTTATTCTGAATATAATTTTTTATTCTCAAATTCAATCAACCCATCTCATGACTTTGTCTTCGTATTCTCACAATCTGATGTGAGGCTAGTTAGTGAAAAACTTTGGACACTACAGTGGTTTAATTATGTTCAGTAGTTTGAAAAGAACTTATCAATTTCAATTTCTCTTCTTCACTATATGGTCTCACGCAATTCATTTGTTCACATTGTATGAGTTTTCCATCTCAAATCTTGCATATATTTACATTTGATGAAATTTTAACTTGGAAATGTTCCCATTGAATTTGTGCATAATTTTCTGGTGCTTATGTTTTGCAGCTCAAAGGACACATATCCCCTTCATCTATCATTTATATGCCTTCATCTGTCTCCAGGTTAGTGGGCTTTGATATATCTCATAAGGTTGCTTATAAGTGCAAAAAATGTGAAAGGGGTGTTTCAACTAGTACAAACTTAAAGTTTTAAGTTAGAGGTTTCAGGTTTGAACATTTTAAAAATGAGTAGGGAGACAAGGCAGGGAGGAAAGTGATTTGAAAAGAAGGCTATGCAATAGCCTGTCACCAGCTGTAACAAAAAAGGAAAGAATAACGGAGACATGGTGCTCATACTTGATTTAGGTTTTGCTGATCATAAACAGACATCTTCACTCTTTGTATGCTTTCACTGTTTCACATACAAAAGAAAAAAAAATCAAGGATACATCACTACAGGTGTAGCATGCACGCCATGTGTCATAAATGTTTGCTTAATCCACGAAAAAAGGTATGGCTTGATCTCTTCCTTATCTAACATCCATGAGTTTGGCACAATTCAGACTTTTCCTTTTAGGAAAGAAATCACCTTTATCAAAGACAGACAATCACTTCTTTTTCTGTTTTCTCCTACAAGAATTGGCTGTGAGTTTAATTAGCTGCAGGCCAACAGTGTCCCCTCGGAGTGGTACGGGCCCCAAGCAATTTATCAAAGACAGACAATCACTTCTTTTTCTCTTTTCTCCTCCTAGAATAGGCTGAGTTTAATCAGCTATAGGCCTACAGTGTACCCTGTGAGTGGTACAGGGCCCAAGCAATTAGTTACAGAGCACTGTTTTTCAATCAGAAATTGGAAAAATACCAATTTAGACTAGATATGACTACAATACCCTTAACATCCTGATCTTAGTTCAAATTATGAAAGGGCATAGTAGTCAACATAGACTCACTCAATGTTAGCTATTAGTTGGAGCGGTTGAGTCAATATTACTAAAGTATAAAATAAAGTAACAAATCTCCTCTAAATCAAAAGTAAAGACAGAATGATGATTTGATTGTCAAAAGTATACGAGCTCACCTTCTTCTCTCCCTTGCTCCATAACCTGCTGTCTCTGTCTTGACTTAAGCTGCTTTTTAACTAAATCTAGCCCAAATATCTTGATTCTTGATACCCATCAAAATCTTCAAATTGTTACATAAATGTGTGTTGAATCTATTCCTAAAGTGTTCCATTCAGAACAAATGCAAGGAAACGAAAACTAGAGTAAGAGGACAGGGAGGAGCCTTTATATGATGCTTCTGCTTAGCTTCAGCTTTTAAAAGAACCTGCAGAAGGGCTATTCTGGGAAAGTGACCCTTCACCACTGCTTTGGATGCCAGTAATAGTATTGACTTTACACGCAAAACTATGGTGTTTTGGGCCTTATTTCTTCTCTTTTTATCCCCTTTCATTATTACAGATGCAGTCTGGCTCTTGGCTTAAACAAAACCCACAGTCCAACATACAACTCTCAATCATTATGTCTCAATCAAATCACAACATTTTTACATTAACCGAACTAGAAAAGCTTCAATGGAAAAGAAATGCTTGTTTGGACCGTAGATGTAGTCATTAGATACAAAGTCATGCTTACATTTAAAGTTATAATTATTCGAACTGACGTTGCTTTGCTAGGCTAAACTGAAAATTCACAACCCTGAATCAAAATTCGAGTTCTCTATTTTAGTCACTAGGTCAATAAAATGTCCTTTTTCATTGACTCCATACCGTTGTAATTGGGGATGTATGTAATCAAGTAACGCTTTACCCCAACACAAACCAAAACCTCCACTTCAAGCCAAAAGCAATATTAAAAGAAGCTTCATTAAAATATATTTTGGATACTGTTTCAATTTGTTTGGTAATACTTTCACTAAAGTCTTCCATTTGGGGAAAAGATTGTGACTATTTGGATTAACATTTTTTGGTACAAGGTGGCCCCCTCATCTTAATTAATTAATCATAGATAAAGTTAATGAACATAAACTAGAGGAAGTAGTAATTAAATTACCTGCAACAATTAAGGGTATAGCTTATATATATAATCATGAGTCATGAGCATTCAAGAAAGAGATTGATCATTACTGGAATCACATATGCATCCCCACTGCTTCAATCATTGGTTGGTAAAATTGTGTTTCAGAGAAACAATAATAAGAATGTACTGTACTGATATCACACAATAATATCCAATTCCTGTAGAAGAAGAACTAAAAGGCACCTAAGGATACAGCTAGCCGGGTATGGCATATATATGATGAGCAGCTGCAGTACAAATCAAACACACAATCCGGAACCATGAAATTATAATATATAGGTTTTGATCTTGTTTACCTATTTGAAATGGGGTTTGGACCACTAGGAACTTCATGAGCACTGGTATTGAAGATTCTTTCTTGCCATGGCAGAGGAGATCTTCTTCGAACAGGTGGAGGAGTAGTGAGTGCTTTAGTCTTTGAATTAGTCAGGGATGCGGAGGCCATGCCAAATTTTCTTGAGGTTATGTGTGGGACAGAGTGGTCTGTGGTGGCCAAAGTAGCAGAGTGAAGGTGAAACATCATGATTAGGAGGAAGAAGAAGAGGGTCAGAGGAGAGACAACAGAGGATGTTCCATCACCAGCCATGCAAGATGAAGAATATATACAAAAATCATGCATCCAGGAGAGGAAGAGGGAAGCCAAAAATGGGGTTTGGGGAAGATACCTTGTTATGTTGTAAAATTTTCAACTTTGAAATGGGGGGGCAGAGAAAGATGTGAAAGGTGAAAAAGAGGAAAGCAAAGGGTTAAGGGTGCTAGAATGCTTTAGAAATGTAGTGAGGGGAGATAACAATGGCTTTATCAGTGTCTTCCTCTTGTTATGTAGCGGTGAAAAATGAAAAGCACACACAAAATTAAAAGGTTTTTTGTTTGAGCTTGGAAGCAACCTGTAGCCTCCTGAGAGGAGGACCAAATGGAGCCCACAAAACAGATATTGCTGATATACAGCTTGGAGAAAGACACACAAATGGAGTCAAAATTAATAAAACTTGCTTGTTCCATGCCAAAATCATAACCATATACCATATACATACAAATTAGGAAGAAAGGTATCCTATATGAGGTCAAGTTCACAAGCCTACTAAATACCAATGGCTAGGAGGGAGTACTGAATACAAGTACACTCGATATTTGTAATTATTTTATCTATTTGGTAATTACTATAGTCAAATTGTAGAAAAAAAATAGCTAAATAATGTATATAAAAATAGTATATCTATAAGTATTAAATTAAGTGAAAAATACATAAGTTTAAAATTGTTTATTTGAATTATTTAACTGACTAGTTTAACTTACCTATGACTTGTATAATTGAAATTTTACATGCATTTATTATATTTAATATCTATATAACAATAATAATTTTT